AAGAGCCTCCAAAATATTTTTATATTATTTGTCATGAAACTGAATGCTGGAATCACAATAATTAGAATAAGAGGCATGCAGTTAATATTTAGATATATATGTCGTCACCATGCTTTTCATGATTAAAATTGTATCTTTTGGCATAAGAATTTTAAAGGTTAAGTGATTGCAAAAAAAAATTTGGGAAAATATTTTTTTTTGTTTGAAATATCTTATCAGTAGTAATGTACATTCATGTAAGCACCTATCTTCCTTTGCTTCATCTCTTTGGTCCAGAATCGTGTTGATATATACCCCAAATAATATTATTTTAATAATTATTTATTTTATATATATATTAGATATTACTTATTAGATATATTAGATATAAAGTACTTATACTTAGAAAAGAAAACGTTACATTTTTGCAGCTTTGTGCTAGCTTGCCCATTACTTATGCCAACTTTTTAATACTGTAAGTCTTATTTCTGAAATATAATATAAGACGTGATTATTAAAAAAAAAAAGATTTGAATGACTGCAATTATAGAGATCTACTTTCTTGCAACCGGAAAGTAACTTGTTCAATTTTTATTTTCAAAAGAGATGAAAAATCCTATATTGCCTCTAAGCCTCATCAAGCTTTTATGACTAATCACAGTGCTGCATGCATTGAAATACATTTTCTAATTTGTGTTGTATTTCATTATTTGCTGTCATTGGTTTTACACTAGAGTAAGGTAAGTGATTTCATTCCTGCAATATCAGTGCAGCCCCATTTTCACAATTATCATTCCGTTGACCAATACTGATATTGTCGTTTTAAAGCCGAAGTCAGCCGACTTCAGCTCTCTTTTCACACCTAGAAAGTCTTACCTGAAGGGTATCGTGATTCTAAGTTGGTTTGGGGGTCTAGATAGCTGCATGTCAAGGAATTGGAATTTTGCAATATATTTTGAGGATTGTTGGGTTGAATCTGTTCAATGTTTACTGATATTCAAAAGGACAGCAAGGGGATTTCTCACTTTCAAAGGAGAGCAGAGATGATATCAAATTAAGAGAGTGATGAGAAGTCAACTGCATCAGATAAATTGTTTCAAATCTATCGGTTGTACACCACAGCAAGAGACTTCTCCTGGCTGGCCTCCTCTGGGCTGGGAAGCTAACCAGAGGCCGGGCCTAACAGACCACCAGGGAAATTCTAGGGTTGTAGATCAAAAGAACACCTGAGAAGAAGTCAGAGAAACACCAATTTCATTATATTTTCCCTCCCAAATTGACAGAGGTCCACTACTCCCTCTTCATAATGGACCCGTTTCTCATGCTCCGAAAATAACAATAAGAATAGCAGTATATGCAGCCCTCTCTAAGCGGTTTACATTGTCAATGTATTGCCCCCCAACAATCTGGGTCCTCATTTTACCCACCTCGGAAGGATGGAAACCCGACCCAATCTTGGGTCGGTCAGGATCGAACTGACGACAATCGGCAGAATTAGCCTACAATGTCACATTCTAACCACTGCACCACCATGGCTTAAATAGCAGTTAACCAAGCAGTTAGACTTATATACTGCTTCACAGTGCTTTACAGCCCTCTCTAAGCGGTTTAAGAGTCGGCCTATTGCCCCCAACAGTCTGGGTCCTCGTTTTACCGACCTCGGAAGGATGGAAGGCTGAATCAGCCGGTCAGGATCGAACTCCTGGCAGTGAGCAGTGAATTAGCTTGCAATACTGCATTATAAGCACAGCGCCAGCACAGGAGCTGATGGAGCTGCACAAGCAGTAGTCCCTCAGTAATCCTAAGTGACACATTGATGGGTTGGACATCCTTACCCCTTTCCTAAGGAGTTAGAAAAGCAGCCATGCTAGCAATCAGTCAGTTGGTCAGTAATATTTACTTGGTCAATGATGAAAGGCTGCAGTTAAAATATCTGCAGATACCTTTGGCCAAATAGAAGCTTTTTAGGAAAGTGCTCCAACTAAGAAGTTGGACTTGCCAATTCTCTTATATGGATTTAGCTGGGAGTGGAATCATGCTACATTTCCAAAGTAATGCCACTTCATTAGACCTGCAAGAGTGGCTTGCTCATATACAGAGGTCCCCGAGATTAGAAATCCTAAATTTAATCATGATCAGGTTTCACATTTCCATCCAAAAGATACCAGGAAGCAGGACCAGAATTGCACGAGTTCAGCCTATGCAATTCAGCCCTTTTCCAGATGGTCTAGTAGCTACACATACTGGCACATCCTTCAAACATAATTTGTGTAGATCCCTCAACCTATAAAATTAGCACAGGGTGAAATGTTACTTTTCAACTAACACTGAAGTTTAGTCATTTTGATCGTGGTCCATGACTGTTTTAATAAAGTTTGACTTTCTTACTTACCTCGCTAATTTTGAAGAGAAGTGGGGTTTTTGCAAATGTTAATTAAAATCATGGCTGGCTGGGGAATTCTGGGAGTTGAAGTCTACAGGTCTTAAAGTGGCTAAAGTTTGAGAAACACCAATCTAGGAGATAGCCAATGATTTTATTCTATGATTGGAGGATTAAAGTCCCATCCAAATAATGGAGTTAATTCTGAGCACCTCCGTGGACTTTTGGTTTGAATATTCTGCTTTCCAACAGAGACAATTCAAGAGGCTGGTTCTGCTAAACATATGCTTCTTTTCTATTTACAAAGACTCCCAAATTCCTCTAAAGAACCAAGACATCCCGTGGGGTATGTTAGTGGAGAACAAGTTAGTTTATAGCAGGGCAGAGGCATAGATCTTAATTGGATCCCAGAATGTCTTTCCTTTATCCTCTGCTAAGTCAACTAAGGAGTGCCACTTTCTGTTGTAGCTTAAAACAAGAACACATGGCACAAGTGGGTATAAAGGTGAAATCTGATTTCTTAGCATAGCAAATGTATTTAGGAGAGGATAAGTTTCACCTACACATTGGAGAGAGAGATCACAGAATTCAGCCAATCTGTAATTGGCCACTCAGTTGCAGTGTTAGACTGCCATCTAGAGAATAAACGGCTGCATGGTGCAGGAATTAACGTTTGCTGCCATAATTTCAGCAAATGTTGATTTTACGGGTAGTCCTCGAGTTACAACGGTTCATTTAGTGGCCGTTCGAAGTAACAACAGGGCTGAAAAAAGTGACTTATGACCGTTTTTCACACTTACGACCATTACAGCATCCCCATGATCAAAATTCAGATGCTTGGTTACTGGTTCATATTTATGACGGTCGCAATGTCCCACAGGTCGTGTGATCCCCTTTTGCAACCTTCTGACGAGCAAAGTCGATGGAGGAAGCCAGATTCACTTAACAACCGGGTTACTAACTTAACTACTGCAGTGATTCACTTAACAAGTGTGCCAAGAAATGGTCGTAAAATGGGGCAAAACTCACTTAACAAACGTTTCGCTTAGCAACAGAAATTTGGGGTTCAATTGTGATTGTACGTTGAGGATTAGCTGTACCGTACATCTACCTGAGCCACTTCCCAAACAACCAAATAAATAAACTGAGATTTGTAAAACTGGATACCTACAAATAATGTTAAAAAATACTTCAGTTGTGATAGCCACTGCTGATTTTTAGAATATATCTACTTAAGTCAGCTGCAAACATTGTCACCAGCAGCCTACAGTCTTCGTCAATTAATGACTCCCCTGCGGGGTGGAGTCTGAGCAACTGAATGGAGCTAGCAGAGTGTTTTACTGGCCAGATGCCTTTCCTGTTGCCACTGTGGAGTTTTGTTCAGCAGATACATTCTCATTGTGTCCAGAGAGAGAAATATTTATCTCTACCTAGGATTGAACTCACAGCCTCCTGATTGTGAGGTGAGAGCTCCACCTCTTGGCCACCGCACCACTTACCACCACCCTACAGTAACTATAGTTAAATCAATGTGTATTGCTCCGAAGTCAGGTTAGAGCGTAGAAGTAAGCAGCTTAATGATGGGCATCATTATTTGCCCATTTAACCCTCTATTCTTTTATGCTCCCAATACTTCATTCTCTCTTTTGCAACTTGATTTATTGCCTGGTATGTTTCAACCAGCGTATATATTCGTATGTATGCATCTGCAATCATTAGATCTGAGGTCAGGCGGTTTTAACCGATGAAAAGCTTTTGCTCGGTTTCCAAAATGAACTGCAGTGAAATCACAGCAAAGGGTTAATTATCATGCAGCATATTAAAGAAATTTGCTTCCTTATCTTCAGCTCAAAGAACATAACTGATAAAGAGTCATAGCAGGTCAGAAGTGCCTCTGTGTCATTTAAAACACACGGTAGCATAGGCAATAAATGGTTAAATAAATAATAAATAGAGTGATAGAATTGTACAGGCAGTCCTCGACTTATGACCACCATTGAGTCCTAAATTTCTGCTGCTAAGGCAGTCATTAAATGAGTTTTGCTCACACACACACACACATACACACACACACACACATATTGCCCCAATAATTAAGCAAAAAGGTGCAGTTATTAAGTGAATCATGTGGTCATTAAGTGAATCATGGCTTTGCTTGACGGAAGATGGCGGGGAAGGTCACAAATGGTGATCCTGTGACCTGCAACGATTGCAAATACATCCCCCCGATTTTTTGACCATGGGGGGATACTGCCTCAGTCCTAAGTGTGAAAATCTATTCTAGGCAGTGGTGGGATTCAAATAATTTAACAACCGGTTCTCTGCCCTAATGATTCCTTCCAACAACCAATTCACCAAACTGCTCAGAAAGTTAACAACTGGTTTCTCATGAACCGGTACGAACCGGTTGAATCCCACCACTGATCCCAGCTCCCCCCCCCCCTTTTTTGACGCCGTTTTAGTCGCTTGGAACGGTGAAAGCTGTTGTAAGCTGAGGAGCTCGCTGTCTTAAAGGAATCACTTTAAGGCCACGTCAGGCAGCGTGTGTGCGTTGTGCATTTGCATTGTGCGTTTTGAACTCCACACTTGTGGTTGAAGGAAAGTGACACTCTTCTCTCCCGTCCTTCTCTCCGTTGTGCAGCACTCGCAAACAAAATTACATGATGAATTTTTCACGGCAACACGGGCTCAGGCATTTCTACAACAGAAGACGGAGGTCCCTTCTTAGGCGGTCCCCGTGAAGAACAAGAGTTTCCTCTCTCTCTCTCTCTCTTTTTTTTTTTTGGTCCTTTTTTTCCCTTTCCTGACCTGTGACGTTTTTGCTTTCAATTCCCCCCCTCAACCAAGCACCGCAAATTTGATTTACAAGGACTTTTTCTCCATACGCACCCACATACACCCCACCCTTTTCCTTCCTGGAGGTATATTTTTAAAGCCTCCCTCAAGGCAGAAAGTTACACCCTGTTTTTTCGCACTGTGATCCTCATGGGAAGCGACCTTATTTTTCTCATAGGTAAATGTTTTTTGAATGTCGTGTCTGTGAACAAAAAAAAAAAATTGTGATTCTGTTGTAAAACCAGTTACAGTGGCAGTATTGGAAGTAAAGCGACTGTTTTGAACAGGAGGAGGAAGAAGAAAAACAAACGTGTAAGCACAAAAAGACTTAATATTTAACGTCAGAAAATGATATTAAGTACAATTCAGTATTTAAATGCACTGTATTTTGGCTCTGTATCATATTTTATATGATTAAGTTATTCTTGTCCTCTTTGTATCCTCTCCTGCGACTTGAGCACAATGGCACTGCATTAATGTTAGGACATTGTGCAGCTGACGTCTGCACAATTTACTGTAAAAAAGTTCAATGCTATACATAAAAGCAAACAAACACTGGACTTACAAAATAATCTCAAAAACCATTGTACGAGACCATGATGTCCTTCATTCCTTCTCCTTGTCTACCTGTTAATCATTGTTTGTGGTAACCTGTCACCAAAACAGAAGCGACCATTTCCTTGTTGAAAAGTACAGCCGTCCTCCGCGGATGAGTTACTTACAGTAGCTGCCATTTGCTCTCTGTAGTAATGGAGTGATTTGTAAACAGTGGAACGTTTTCTTCTTCGTGTTTCTTTGTGGTTTGTTTCTTTTTGGGGGGGTGGGTTTCATTCTGTATCTTGGATACTGCCTGGACCTCCCACCAGCAACACAATTTACGATCCCACAACTCTTTTGACTGTCTGTAAACTTTCACTCTACAAGGAATCAACTAAAATTCAAAGCTTCAATAAAGATGTCAACCAATGGTTTAGGTGGCGTTCTTTTTTTTTTTCCCCTCACAATTTTATACCAAGGAGAAGGAAGCAGAATTTAACTTTGGAGAAAAACCTGATTTATTTATTTTTAACAGCTATATGTTGATGAGGAAATTTCCATTAACCAATGGAGAAAGCCCACAATTCAGAAAAAATGAGAATATTAGCAAGATCCTGTGGCTGGAAACACCTTACTGTCTTTTTCAAAAGGCAACTGGACTTTGTTTTTTCCTTGAAGACATTTTGCTTCTCATCCAAGAAGCTTCTTTGGTTCTGTCAAAAGTTCTGTCAGAAATCAGAGCTGAAGAAGCTTCTTGGATGAGAAGCAAAATGTCTTCAAGGAAAAACAAAGTCCAGTTGCCTTTTGAAAAAAAAAACTTTTGGGACAACCATGACCTGGAGGACTGAAAATCTCCATAGACATGAAACATCTGACTGCTCCCATTTTTCCCCACAAGCAAATATAACTGCAGGATCTTTTCAGAAGTTCTATAGCTGTCCAGGTAAATTAACATTTAGTGTGGTGAACTTGAGGGAGTTTCTACAGATAAGTGATCACAAACATTTTACTTAATAATACTTGCATGGTATTTATATTGGAATTAAGACAGCACCGGACTAGAAAGTTAGGAGGTGAGTTTTAGTCCTGCTTTAGCCATGAAAAATGGCTTGGATGACTTTGAACCAATCACCGGGAGACTGTGAATTCTAGTCCTGTCTTAGCTATAAAAACAAGCTGGGTTATTTTGGGCCAATCACCAGGAGACTGTGAGTTCTGGTCCTGCTTTAAGCAGGAAAGCCAGCTGGATGACTTTGGGCCAGTCACCAGGAGACCGTGAATTCTAGTCCTGCTTTAGTCATGAAAGCTGGCTGGATGATTTTGAACCAATCACAAGGGGATTGCGAGTTCCAGTCCTGCTTTAGGCCTGAAAGCTGGCTGGGTGACTTTGGGCCAATCATTCTCAGACCAACCCACCTCACAGGGTTATTGTGGAGGAAATAGGAGGAAGAAAGAAGGTAGGTTGAGTTGTTTGCCACCTTGAGTTACTTGTAAAAATAATAAAAGTGGGATGCAAATATATGATAGATAGATAGATAGATAGATAGATAGATAGATAGATAGATAGATAGATGATAGATAGATCAACAAAGATGATTAGGGGATTGAAGGCTAAAACATGAAGAACGGTTGCAGGAACTGGGTATATCTAATTTTAATGAAAAGAAGGACTAGAGGTGACATGATAACAATGTTCCAATATTTCAGGGGCTGCCCCAAAGAAGAGGCAGTCAAGCTATTCTCCAAAGCACCTGAGGGGGTGGAAATTAAGGAGAGAAGCAACCTAGAACTAAGGAGAAATTTCCTGACAGAACAATTAATCAGAGGAACAACTTGTCCTCAGAAGTTCTGGATGCTCCAACACTGGAAGTTTTTTAAAAGGTGTTGGCTAACCATTTGTCTGAAGTGGTGTAGGGTTTCCTGCCTAAGCAGGGGGTTGGACTAGAAGACCTCCAGGGTCCCTCCAACTCTGTTATTCTCTAGACATGCATGTTGAGATAGAGACATGGATATAAAACCAAGACATTTCCACCCACTCAGCTGTGATGTTTATACAAGCATAAATAGCATACACTTGATAATCCAATTCAAATGACAATAAGAGAAGAGTATCTCAATGTGCCTTTAATTCTGTTTTCCATACTTAAACCCTCACAATTTTAAACCGATGAATTGACACCAAGATTGATAGAATTGCTGTCTAATATAAAGAAAAATATCTGTGGTTTCAGAAAAATAAGTAGCATTTCTTGGGTTTAATTGTACTTGCAGATCAGCAAAACCAAATACACATACTGTGGATTTGATGTTATAGATAAAGCACATAATACAGTCACCCAATGTAGTTATTATAACATTAATCGCCTTACACTGTCAAAGAAGGAGACCTTTCTAAGAACGACTTCAAGAATCATTTAAATTTTAACAGCATCTCAGAAGTAAATGAAACTCAGAAGTAAATGAAACATCATCCAGTGTATGTGATATAAACATTACTTTGCTTGAACATTCATTTCATTTGTTTGGATGGGGAAACAGGGCCTCCTGTAAAATGACTTTTAAATTCATTCCTCTCAGAATTCCCATAGTACATGAAATATCGTGCAGTTGTTTAATATAAACATTATTTCTCTGGAACTCACCATTCTTTCATTTGGGTGAGAGGCTAGATCTAAAAAATATCATTTCAAAACTAATTCACGTTCACTCCAGTTTGGTCTGGTTAGTAATTAAAGGCACCAGGCTAAAAATCAGGAGACTGTGAGCTCTAGTCCTGCCTTGAAAGTTGGCTGGGTGACTTTTGGCCAATTTCCAAGAGATTGAGAATTCTAATCCTGCCTTATCCTTGAAAGCCAGGTGGGTAACCTTGGGCTGGTCACTTTTTCTCAACCCAACCCAACTCATAGGGTGGTTCTTGTCGGGAAAATAGGAAGAGGAAGGAATAGAACAGAAGAACAGAATAGAGCTGGAAGGGACCTTGGAGGTCTTCTAGTCCACCCCCTTGCTTAAGCAGGAGAACCTATACCATTTCAGATAAGTGACTGTCCAGTCTCTTCTTAAAAACCTCCAGTGATTGTTGCTTTGAGTTATTTGTAAAAATAATAAAGGCAAAAGATGATAGAGAGATAGAGAGACAGACAGACAGACAGAGATGACAGACAGACAGACAGACAGACAGACAGACAGACAGATAAATAGAGTCAGATGATAGACACAGAAAAATGATAGGTGGATAGATAGATGATAGATAGATGATAGATAGATAGATAGATAGATAGATAGATAGATAGATAGATAGATAGATAGATGATAGATAGATAGATAAATGATATAAATATTCCTATCAGAAGCTCAATAATACATCAAATATTCTGCAGCCCCAAGCACTTAAACCTACAAGGGGGTTTTCTACTCTGGATCATAATATTGATCCCTGTATGTATGTGAAGCCCTTATTCTGAATTTTGCTACCATGAATAAAACAAAGAATCAGATAACCTTTTGCTGTTGTAAAAAATAATTATTATAAAATTATTATAAAAATAAAAAAAAATCCAGCTCAGAAAAAGGGTTGAGCCTTTTAAAAATAATACCGGACATTTAAAAAAACATGCACCAAAGCTATGGGGAATTGGGCATTATGGAATAAAACCATTCAATGTATGCTTAAGTTTAGAGGTTAAGCATTTTAATACAAATTTTTGCTGTAAAGGGATGGGAACACCTATGCAGATACATACACAGGTAGTCCTCAACTTACAACAGTTCATTTAGTGACCATTCAAAGTTACAATGGTACTGGAAAAAGCGACTTATGACCATTTTTCACACTTACTGTCATTGCAGCATCCCCATGGTCGTAAGATCAAATTTCAGATGCTTGGCAACTGGTAGATATTTATGACCATTGCATTGACCATTGGGGTGGATGGTTGTGTCATGTGGTCACATTTTGTGACCTTCTGGCAAGCAAAGTCAATGGGGAAGCCAGATTAACTTAACAACCAGGTTGCTGACCTATCCACTGCAGTGATTTACTTAACAACAGGGGCAAAAAAAGTCATACAATGGAGCAGAACTCATTTAACAAATGTTTCACTTAGCAAAATAAATTTTGGGGTCAATTGTGGTCGTAAGGAGGACTATCTACCAGCTAAGCCGTGATGGCGAACCTATGGCACGGGTGCCACAGGTGGCACACAGAGCCATTTGTGCCGGCACGCGAACTGCAGGCAAACTTACCTCACTGCGCATGCGCACGCCTCACAGCTGATTTTTGGCCAGTTTGAGGCCTTTTTCGGCCTCCCAAAGGCTTGAAGAAGGCTTCTGCAGGCTTCTGCAGGCTGAAAACTAGCCCCATTTTGCCACTTCCTGTTTTTCCGAAAATACTGGAAGTGATGAAACAGGGCTAGTTTTCGGCCTGCAGAAGCCTTCCTCAAGTCTCCGGGAGGCCGAAAAAGGCCTCAAACCAGCCAAAAATCATCTGTGAAGCGCAGTGCAGGTAAGGGGTGGCGGGGTGGGTGGGGATTGTGCGTGCATGTGTACGGGGTGTGGGAGTGCACGCATTGCCTTCTGGGTACTGGCATGTGAGCGTGAGCGTGCAAGCACGCGCACAATTTTTGGCACAGGAGCCCAAAAAAGTTAGCCACCACTGAGCTAAGGTCTTACAAAATTGATGATAAATAAAAGGTTGGATCCTTTTTGGAAGTAAATAATAAATACCAGGGTGTGGCACCTTCCTTCAGTATTTTTGGAGTTCTAGATATCAATATGATGAAAATTTAAAGCATGTTTTATGTACACACGTTAAACTGTGTGAATTAAAACCTCCAGGATAAGTTCCTTTACCA